AAAAAAAAAAAAAAAAAAGAATTAAATCATTTAATATATTATTCTTAGACAGTTAACAGAATTCAACAACATGGATACATTTTATAATTAATAATTTAACGTGTCATTAAAATCCGTGAGTGTCCACATATTTAATGCGCATGCTTAATGAACGTATATAAGTGTAGTTTCAGCAAGTTTGTGTCGTAGTGGATGGAGCGATAAATACCGTTTCGAAACGGTATGATTAGTCATATTGTGTTATGAGCCATTACGAGGTCGTGGAAAATAAGGTGGCGGTCCGTCGCGTAGTGATTTCAACGGGTCTAGAAAATTCACGCGGCTCTCTTTATTTCCCGATAAGAAATGTACGTAATAAATTTTTCAAGTTCTCCAACCCGATTACTTAACTTTCAAATTGATTACTTAACTTCACTTAACTTTCAAACGCGAGAACGATAATCGATAGACAATTATTATTTGTCTTGTTACGCGTCGATTACGTCGATAATGATAGAATGAGAAGAACGTTAAATATTGTAGCGCAATAATAATTAAGCGCGAAGAATTTTCTTCTAAATTTTTCAATTTTTCGCGGTTAACCAATCGATATTAATTTTCACTTCCCCCTCTTTCCTTTTTTCAGTAATTCGAAACTCGGTCCATTTCGAATTTCGAAAGGTTACGAACACGATTACGAATTTTGGTATTGAACCGTGAAGGTTTTCCCTTTCGAGGAACAACTGGTAACAAATTGCCGATCAATTTTGTTATGACGGGTACCGAATAAAGGGGTAAGAAGCCCTCTGCGTGGAGAGGGAATACACGTTTCAATTCGAATCACGCGGTGCCCTCGAGCTCAACAATGGCCTATTCTTTGAGCGGGGGATACGAGGAGGGGAAAAATCAAGGGGGAATAATCACCCCTCGTATAAATATAGGTCACGATAGAAACAGCGTTGGATAAGCTGTGTGTTGACCGACGACGTGAACGTAGAATGAAATCACTCGTGCGGATTTATCTGGAGAGAGAAAGAGAGAGAAAGAGAGAGAGAGAATAGAATAAATTTTGAGATAAAAATGTGTTAATCTATATCTATACTTTTTTGGAAATGGTATATATGTTCTTTTCGTTGGAGAAATGAATCGACGATAAAAAGCTTTTGAGAAAGCTTCGAAGATGTATTCGACAAATATTGAAAGAGAGAAAGAAAAAAAAAAAAAGAAATAGGAAACGAGATTAAAATTATCAAATGTTCGTTTGCTTCTAATTCATTCGCTATCTCTTGAGAAAGTTTCAATCATTCTTCAAAAAGATCTGGATGTAATTTTAAATAACAATATTAAAAATAATTTTATCAACCATCAACGATATTTGTTATTCGATAAGCGGTGTATTTCGACCGATGATACGTTCTTTATTTGATCAATTAAGGCAATTATTTGAAAGAACGATAAATTAAAATAATTTGAGAAAATGATATATAATGATATAAAACAGGAATAATGTAAACGTTCCAAAAGAAATCAATTATTTTCATCAAAATCAAATTTAATCATTCTCAAATAATGTATATATATATATATATAAAATAATAATAAATTTAAATATAACTTGAAAATCCCTCTGGTAACCAGAACTTAGAATCTAAAGGTACATATCTATACTCTTTTTTTACTCGATCGCTCGCGTGACTCATATGATCGCCCGTTCTCCGAAGAACAAAGGATACTTCGGAGGGTGTTTCGATCCGATTGTTGCCCAGTTTTACGATCGTTATCCGTGGTATCGTTGTAAAAACGCGACAATTACGGCTGATTAAGACTATCTATAGTCCCCGGCCGTACAGTAGTCTATTTACAGCAGCTGACGAAACTCGTTTCCGTGTTGCATCAGTCGCCCGATAACCGACATTGTTGTTTACCGATCGTCGATAATTACGCTACGAGTTTTCTTCTTTCGTTCCATCCTCACCCCCGCTTCTTTCCTCACTCCCCCCCCCCCTCTCCAAAGTCGAATCTCTCTTGTCAAAACACCGATACCCTCGATCACGAGCTGACAATAATCCTTCTTGCCCCTCTCCTCCTCCTCTTCGTTCTTCAACGTTTCGCTCGATACTCGCGTAAAACGATCGAACGATTTCCCATCCCATCGAAGAGTCGTCGCTGTTCGAATAAAATGCTTTCGAAAACGGCCTTGGAATACAACGGCTGGCAGCGTCCTTTAACAGTTCCAAAAACCACCCCCTGCAACAGGAAACGCAGCTTCCCCACCCAGCCTCTCCTCCGCTTTGGGACAAACAGCTGATCTCGCTCTCAGCTGCCCCTGCCTACGTACGAAAGCGTGGAGGGAGGGTGCGGCCGACAGGGACCGTCAGCTGTCTGTTTGTAAATAATTCCGCCGGCACTTTAATTTTCCATCGTTAACCTTCATCCGTATAACTGTTCCAGCTCCAGTCATGGGTAGGGTCCGGTATTGCGATCTTTTATATGCGTTCCACGAACACCATGCCTCTAATAGAATTTCCCCTTACAAAGCGGCGACGGGAACAAAGTGTGCTCGTTTGTTTGCCTCGATTCACTTTCGCTCTATCAACCGACATCGAGTCTCTCGATATATTATCGGGGAAATTTGGTAAAAATTCATTTCGGGAGAGTTACTTTTTCTTCCAAGCCCTGATGATCTCCTTTTTTTTTTTATAGGGCTCTCAAAAAATTTGAAAACCATTTCCACAATTGAAGGGATCGTTGGAAAACGACACGATAAATTTGTATATAATTCACGAATAAACGATCTCTGTGTGATCGATAGGAAAAAAAAAAAAAAAAAAAAGGCAGATGATTGGAAAATCAAAAATACAAAAGTGGTGATAATATTTTTCTGATAATCCTTTTATGTATTTAAATATTTTCACCGTTATATACCCGATATATACTCCGATCCTGAAGGATTGTATTAGACGATAAGGAGGAGGTTGAAAAGAAGGGATGGCCGATGTTTCCTTTTAACGATCCCAGAACACCCATTCTACCGGAAACGAAACGTGTTTCTACGGTCTGGAATCAGTCAATTTTCTCTTTTCGAGGATCATAAAGGTCCGCTGCGACCGGCTGCGAGATTCTTTCTCTCGAGCCGTCGAGTCGAGGCATTATTACTCGTGAGGCACGCAATTTCAGACGAGCCACGTCCTTCCTCGGGGACCTTTTATTATTCCGTTGACACATGGCCCGCAATCACTTCTGCACCCTTCCACACACAGTCACGGCTGACTTCGTGACGGGTGCGCGCGGGGAAGGGATCTCGGTCGTTCGCGGCTCAACCATCATAGACGATTTTTCTGAATCGATTCAACGAGACAGAAATATTCCCTTTATTTACTCGCCGATTTCATTTACCTTCGCAGATGTTATCACGCTCAATTTTCCCGGCTAATTTTATTTATACCTATATCTAACTGTCAATTTTAATTTCAGATTTCTAAAAATTACACAATTTGAGATGAATTTTGATGGAATTGGGGATAAGTTCTTCGCATCATTGTATATTAAAAGTTATCGCAATTATTTGCAAAGTGATCGACGTAATATATTCTATTCCAATGAAAGTATCAATCAATATCTAACTCGTAAGTTCTCTCTGAGCGATACCTATCTTCGATAATATTATAATTTATGTACACTTTTCTATAACATAGATATAATTATAGGTATCTCTAATGACATATAATAACCAATTACACGGTCAATATCTATAATTAACGTATTATATATAAATTGAGATTAAACGGGCTCGAAACATTAAAAAAAAAAAAAAGAAAATCGAAGTGATCCCAATTTCTTCCTGTCTTTCTAAAAACGATACATTTAATTTCCAGCAAAATTTAATTATATATTTTCTGGTGCATCGTAATAGTAGATAAAAAAAAAAAAAAAAAAAAATACACAATGAGGGAAACATTTAACATTTCCCTTCGTACCAACAAGTCAAGAACACGTCTGCACACACGTCAACGAGATCAACGAGGTATTGCCCTTTTCTTTCTACGCCATCTCTCTCTCTTTCTACCATCTCACTTATTTACGACACTACCACTATCCACTAATGACAGTTCCATTCCAAGGGGATGCTCTCAGAACGATCGATCGACCTCCCCCCCCTCACCCCTCCCTCCCCGGCTACTTTATAGCCGGGGTAGGTAGGAAAATGAGGGGGAGGGAGGAGGGGAGACGTGATATACAGTTCGACACAGTTTTATATCTCGATCGTAAAACGCATCACGCGTGCCGTTCCTCGATCCTTGGATCGTATCCGACAATGGCGCGCATCGGTAAATTTACGTTTCGAAATTTTTATGTCCGGACCAGCTCTCCTTTTTCGCCACCCTGCGAAATAGATACGATTTCCCGGCTTTCCAACGCTTCCAACGGGGGGTTAATTTACCGTCGCATAAATGTCGGCGCGCATCGTTTAAGGGTGCGCATCGATTTTCGGCCGACAAAAGGAACAAAAGGAGTCGCGGGTCCTTTGATCGCGTTGCGATACGATGTAATTTGATTAAATTTATTCGTAACGTTGAATGGACCACCCTTGATTCAACGCGTGGGAACGAGGAGATTTTTGAAAGTAACGGAAGCAGAGTTTTTTTTTTTTTTTTCTTTTCTTTTCTTTGGATTTCGATTTTTGCATTTTCAAATGTGTATGTGGAAAGGAAGTTCTTCGAGGATCGAAAGGATTGATGATGAAGATAGGACGGTGATAGGGTGTGTTTTTTTTAATACGCGAAACTTGGAAAGTTCTCGAAGAATCTTCGATAATAGCAGTGAGAGATATATGTATTGGTGTTTTTCTTTTTTGTTGCATCAATTCAAATGAAATGTAAATGATGGGATAAGAAGAATGATAAAGAAGTTGCAGCATATGAATATTCTGAATTAATTTGTGAACAAAAGCGGCGTGGTATTTCGTGCGTCTCCGTTTTTTCTGATAATCTCGCTCCTCTTCTTCTCTCGACGAAATCTATTTACGTATATATCGTTTGTTAACTTTCGTTTCAAAGTCAAAGCAGAGATAAATCCGTGACAATACAAGTGTTTACATTGTATGCGAAAAAATAAGGTGGACAGATAAGGTAAATATATTTTTTCGCAAATACTGAGCCTTGGTTTACTTTGTCACCGAGTTCAAATCAATCTTGACGCGTTTGCGCGATTATGGAAATGATTCCTATCGTGAATAAAAAAAAGAAAAAAGAAAAAAAAAGTGTTTGTAATAATCGCGCGATTTTTGTTAATCGAGAAAGAAGAAGGAAATCGAAATTTCGAAATCGTGAAACAAATTTTCAAAGCAAATCCGGAAAATATCAAGGCTATTTCTTCCCGATATCTATGTTGTTTATGAAATTTTCGGCCGGTATTTGCGTCGAGCGAGCGTCGATAGACGAAAAGACTTGAAAACGATGCAGATAATTTTTCGTCTACGTCACCTTAAAGTGAGGCCGGGTTATTTTTTTCCTGATATTTCGAGCATCGAATTCGTTCGATATTTCTGTACTTGAGAATATAAACTGATCCAAGTCCATTCTTTTTTTTTTTTTTTTTTTTTTTAAATCATATACGCTATTTCACTTCTATTGGAATAATTGAAAACACATTCATTCGATGATATCAAATTGGCTTTCAACGAAATCAATATATTAATTTTTATTATAGATAGAAAAATTATTTTATGTAGCTAATTGTTTCCATAATTCAATTATCTATAATAGGTAATTAAATATACATATATATATATATTATAGGTAGCTCTTTATTAAAAACAACTCAGATATAGAGCAAGGTTTTTATTAGATTATCCTTCCACGTTTATCATTCAGCTTTTCAAATGAAATATAAGTATTTTTTAACCCTCTTGTTCTCGTATTCATTCAAAATATTCAAAATCATTTTTAAGAGACGGATTGATTTTTTTTTCTCCAACGAATTGTCGATATTCCCTGTTTGATTCCCGGTTAAATTGATAGATTAACTTATTGTGAACAAGAGTAAGTGTAGAGAGAGCACGACGCAATTACGGATGAAGGGTAACATTAATCTTTCTGGTACTTCGGCCAAAGTTCGACCGATTAAGAGTTGGGGCGTGTTTGGTTCCGAGTAGTAGTCATTCATAACGTTAGATGACCTATGGCAACATTCTTCTTGGAATATCTTCATCTTTAACTTCGCTATTTGTATTTTAATCATCGAGATCATGCGTTCAATTAATATTGAAAAATTATTTTGATTTTTCAGATTTTTCAGTATCTCTAAGCGAGTAAATTCTCGAAAAACTTTTATTTTCTTTAATCCATTCCAAATTTAGTTAAAATAATTTTCTAAATCGTTGGTGACGTTTCGAAAAATTTGGCATGAAATTATTATTAAGCTTCGATCACGTTTATCTCATCAACGAGCAAAATAATCGAGAATTTTTCAAAGTTGAGAATCAAGATAGGGTATATAGATATAATTTTTTTGATTTCGGTATATAATCACGATCTGGAGTATTTGTTTCCTTTCAATTTTCTATTTCAATTGATTTTTTTCATAATAAACTTTCGTATATATATTATATTTTGCAAAAAAGTGTTGGAATATTCTATCAACGTAACGACTGGCGAGGGAAATTATTAAAAATAAGATGGAGCAGAGATGTGTTGGATCGTTTCGATTGGTAATCGATTTATTGTCACTCGGCCAATAAGAAACACGTGAATTTTCTATTATTGATTTATTCTCATTGTTGAACAGAGATACCTGTAGATAATACAATTCTCGTATTCAGCGGTTTCGATAATGTTCTGCCCGATGTTTTCGTTAAATTGAAATGAGACGCGTGTTGGGATGACATGGATATCTGTAGTACTTTATCAGATCCGTGCATTATTGCAAAATTCTGCCGCGTGTTGGAATCACGATGATGAATTGGCAATACCAATATCGATTGTTTCAGCCGTAATTAAGGAAAGGATGCAAATAAATTCTTTGACTTAGAAAGGAAAATATTTCGTAAAAATATTCTTTAGTTATTTGAGGGAATTTTTAAATTTGGAGCACAAATTATAAAAAGAAAACGATAAATTATCGAATCTGTTCTCAATCATCAAAGAAATATCTTCTTTTTTCTCTAGGGTTCTAAAAATTTTATTTTTCGATAGGCTTTTAATTATTTTTCCAGAGGATATTTATTATTATTAGGATTGTTTATCGGTCGAGAGAAGATTTAATCTAGTTATACGTCACTTTATGCGACAATGCATATAATTTGTTCCATATACACGTTTTCATTTTGTCATATCTCGAGCAAAGTACGGCTGCATATATGCACGTCCGATGTTACTCTTATTTTTCACGTCTTTCGTGATTAATCCTTTGAGGAGTACACGTTTTATTGTCAAAAATGTTATTGTTATTAGCCTTTAAATTTTCACTCGAGTGAATTCAATTGTGCATGTTTGTTCAGAAGATATTAAGATATGTGAAGGAAAGTGTGTATAGCTATACAATATCTTTATCATTTTTATATAGAAGTGATCAAAGTATTACGGTTTCAAAGAATTTCAAGGAAAATTAAATTTGTCACTTGCAATTTTTTTTTATTATACGTTCTTAATTATCCATTAACTAGAATTAAGAAATGAGTTTAACGAGCTCAAAAAATAAGTATCTCTTTCGATGCAATGGAAAATTATAAAGCTATTGAAAATGATAGTGAAATCATATTTATTAATAAGACATGAAAAAAGTCAAATGTTATCGTTTCGAAAGCTCTTCCAAATTTTTTTCCAATCAATGATATTATAATATATCGTACATACTACTATAAATAATTATAATAATTAATTAGGCCGGTGCTTGAAAATCTTTTTCTTTTTTTAAATAAAACTTTTAAAATTATCATTGATTCAAAATATTTTTTCATACATAATTTATCAGGTTGTATATTTTTATCACCACGTATTACAAATTAAGTTAAGATTAAACCATTACCTGGGTAAACATAGGATTACTTACAATCTCTCTAAATAAAGTCCAAGGTTCAATTAAATAGCATTCGAAAAATAAAAATAAAATTATAAATTCGGATAACTTATCGAAAATACCTCTCAATCTCCTCATCAATTCCAATTAATCCAAAATATATATTTCTCGAAAAATATTTCCAATTATATCGCGAGACTTCAAATCGATATAAAAATTTAAATTTTTTCCCAACGTGATAATTGTAGCAATATCGAAGGAAATAACGATACACGTTTTGCGTCACTGCATTGTTTTTCTCAGTGAAGGAAGAACGGTCGTGCGTTTGAGAAGGCAGATCCGTGTGCGTTAACCATTAAAGAAAATCTTTGTACCGCAGCTGTTTGATAACGCATCACAGACCAATCGTTTTCTACTTGCCACTTTTCAA